CAATCGATCGATTCTGTGTCAATTCCATCTCCACAATAAGCCTATTGATCACATCAAAAAAAGTGTGTTTCACTACATAGGAGCTTGCAAATCCATATCATGATTTCAGCAATTTAAAAACCAAGTTGAGCTTTAATCTTAAAGCCAATTTGTTTTCTTATGTAGATCTACGCTTTTATATATTTCATAGAAAAAAAATTGTAATCACATCCATATGTTCCATAACAAGATTCAACATCACGATTGGTGCACATACTAGACAAATTATAGCATACTTTGATACAGGCGAGAAAATTTTGTTTTAGTCCACATTCTCTTCTAGCCACCATTTTCATTTGAAATTCCTTGCTTTGAAGATTATTGTTCTTTACTTGTTGAATTGTACTGCTTATACTACACTAGCAATAAATTAACACCTCATTTCCACGAAGCTTAACCAACTTCCACGTCTTGGTATTAATAGAACGACTACATTTGCTACTTCATAACAAAAGTTTACTTAAGCTTATTGAACTAAGCTTGAACTTACCTGCACAAAGAAGTTTTTATACATTCCAAAATCAATCCAATATCATCTACATATTTTGTATCAATATCATAATCTTTGAGACTGGATGAATTGGCCCACACAACCCTACTAGCATGACTCAATGATTTTCTAGTAAAAGTTTTTGATCTTCATCGTTTGGTGCGGATACATGAGTATCAATAACAATAATATTTTCTTGTAGTTACTATTTTTCAAGAACTCCACCTATTGCGATGCTCATTTTCTTTGTAGGACAAAATAATTACATATGAAAGCTTTTCTTAAATGGAATATTCTTTTACAAACAAAATATTCAAACAGAATATTTTGGGAACTGCTGTGACGTTCCACGCCTGCTTGGTCCTACTCGCATTTATTCGAGATGTCCGCGTCTGCCCAAACCTAGCTGCTCACCGCGTGTAAGTCCACGTCTACTGCCACGGGTACTGCTTGTGACTACATGGCGTGCTCCGCATGTAGCCTACGCCTACGTGGATTGTTCGATGTGTTGTCCGCGTCTACGTGTCATGCCACGCGTGTCGCTTGCGCCACGTGTCTATTTTCACTATACCACATAGCCGAGTACTGCATCACACCTCAAAAGCATAGCCAAACCCGATCCATGCCCACGTATTCTCCGCTGGTGGTACCAATACCCGACCCATATCCAAAGAGACAAAACCGAAACCCGAAACGAACCCAAGTCACCTCTGAATTGATACCCGACTGGACCCGAATAGATGGGAAAAAACATACTTTTTTTTATTTAGCTTTAAGTTTTCGGTGGAACCGAAACATGAACAGAGGGGAAAAAAGTGCTTTTTTTATTTAGCTTTAAGTTTTCGGGGGAACCGAAACCTGATGGGAAAAAAACATATGTTTTTTATTTAGCTTTCAGTTTTCTCTGGAACCGAAAAATGAACACATGTGAAAAATCCAACTGTTCTCTATTTAGCTTTCGGTGATAGGTGGAACTCTAATCTGGACAGTAGACGACATTAGCATTGAGCGTAGAAACATGAGATTGTCGAGCTTGGAAGGATGCAACAGGTTGCATTTTTTGCTCATGGTATTCCCTGCGTCCGAGAAGTTACTCTCAAATTTTGCGCTAGAAGCTGGAATGGTTAACACAGAGCGAGCTAGTCGAGAAAGTACAGGAAATTCGTTTTGATGGATCTTCCACCAAAATAAAACTCTATTTTTAGATAGAAGTGTGCTTTCATCGTCACTACACCTATGACAAATATAGTTGTTGAGTTCTGTTCTCAAAGAAAAATCAAGCTGCACGTCATCAGCAAGAGGCTTTTCTTCGATGGTGCTGTCGCTCTCAGAACTGTACTCAGCAAGACGACGCACAACACGTCGACTGTCCTCTTTCTTTCTTTTATGAGATGGCACACTCCTCTTGCCGATGCCAGAGCCAATCATATGATCTTTCATCATATTTTATAGATTTTTTTGGCCAAGTTCAATATCGACAGAGTCAATGCCAAACTTGTCTAGACGACACTTGGTTTTAGGATTGAGTAGGGCGGCAATGACATGAATGTCGCTCCAAATAAACTTCTTCCTGATCAGTTCCGCAAATTTTGGCTTCAAGGCGATGAATGCAGGAGAGTCCTTCTTCAGTGTGGTTATCGTGCCATCTTTCTCCTTGGTGGTGATATCCGCCGCAACAACCTGGCAATGCTTTAGCAGATTCTGCCGAAAATAGAGTACACTGTGTATCGTAGGCTCCGCAAACATCTCCAGAGCTAGGGTGGCCTCCTGAAAGGGCACTAAAAAAGCAATGAACTCCTTGAGAAGCTCATGATCAATCTTATTGACCTTGGAAACCAATCCGCGACCTCGTGCACGTAATATCTCAGTCAACTCCGGGAGTGCTTCGTCAACGCTGATCATGCAACGGAGGGCAGAATTCCATCGTGTCGCATTTTCCTGCTTGAGGGTCTTTGCAATCTCATCCTGCAGAGTTGCTTGTTTGACATATGTCACGAGAACTTTGACCTGATCAATAGTATCAAACAACTCAAGGGCTAGATGGTAAAACTCATAGAAGGGAGCAGATTTTTTACCTTCAACCATTCGAGTTCTCTTGTCGATAATCGTTGTTAGTATGGTACTAATGATGTGATCACAACACGGTATCCAACCATAGAGACTAGGAATGCCATCTGCAGAGTGCATATTTGAGCCTCGGTCTGTGACAACTGTAACCTGGTCATATCTATTGATGCCAAATTTTCGTAAAACACCCTCATATTTTTCCAAGACGTCACATCCGTGGTGCGGCCAAGGAAATGGACTGCATGCAAGCGTGCGGTGATGTAGAATGAACTCGTCATCGATGAAATGCACAGTGACTGATAGGAAAGATACCTTGTTGATGTTATCGGTCCAAATATCGGTTGTGCTGCCAATCTGAATTCCTTCCGCCAGATGTGCCTTCAAGGCGGCAGTGAGTATCTCCCTTTTAGCATTAGATCGCATCTGCACATTTCTACTGATTGTGGTTGGATCAGGAAGAATATTGTCCACAAGCATGCCCACCTTAGAGTTGACCCCAATGTTGAGGACAGTCTGTGTATAGTTCCTGAACCCTGTGCCCTTCACAATATAAAATGGACGCATGTCAACAGCGCACATGTCCGCCAACGCCACAGTGATGAGTTTCTTCTCACTTGTAGTCGCATCGCGGCGCGTTGCTGTAGCTGTCATGACTTGATTGGTCTCTGCAGGCGGACATGAGTATTTGGACATGGCGGTGGTTCCGTTGGCTGATCTGTATTGATATACACTGAGACATTTGTTGCAGCAGACAAAAGAATTATCACTTTAACACAGATGTTCACCAGTCTCCTTGATCGCAACAAACAAAAACGATGTCCAGACACCTGCCCTAGCTTTACGGTTTTTCACTCGATAATAGAGACCGTCTTCTTTCTGCAAATCTGCGGTGATTTTTGTCTTCAACGTGAGCATATCTTTGGAACTCATCTCAATTGTCATTGTCACCCATGACAAACCTCGAGAGTAACGGACGAGAAGAGAAAGTGCGATTAACATTGTGTCAAGTCAAAAAATACTCCACGAACTCTGTACTAAGTAACCCTAATTTCCATTTTTAAACTTAACCCTATTTCTAAACCATAGTAAGAAAAGTCCAACCCGAAACCGAACCGGACCTTTCTAGTTTGGTCCAAACCCGACCCATACCCATCGGTTCGGGCGGGTTCGGTTCGGGTTTCGGGTATGGGTACCCGATGCAGTACTCTAACGCATAGCTCGTCCTATGCCCGCCACATTTCTGCCACGTGTTGACTTCTTGTCGCTTCGCCTTCGTGGCTTGTCTGCGCTGATGTGTTGGCATCCTTTGAGTTTGAGACGAAGTGACGTGGCGGGACGAGTATAACGTGGCGTCGATGGAGGAGATGAAGTGTCCAAATGGGAATGACTTGACAAGCGTTTTGAGGATGACGTGTCATTTGTGAAAAGCGACACTTGTTGCAGTGGGTTTGATCTTCATTTGCACCCACGCTCGGCCCGCCTGTGCGCTTGTACTTGGTCGCGACTCTGCATCCTCGAGCGACCTTGCGATCTTATTTATAAGTTCACCAAAGAATGATATGCCAACAACCTTTTTTTGGCAAGGCTATCAATTAGGGCTATGATATGGTCGGGTTGGACCTACCATCCGAAAAACCAGATCGGATTCGAATCGATTTGGGTAGAATCCGAACATACATTAGGAAAAGTACAAGGCCAAACGAGCAAGCTTGATTGCCAAGTGGAGCAATCACACAAAGCATGAGCTTTCGGGTAGATATCATTTGGAGCGGAAACTTGAAGATGATTTTGCTCTTGGGACCTGGACGTGTGCAGACGAGTGCCGATCAAGCATTGGGTTTGTCCACAACGGAGCAGATGCAACTTGTTCAGCTTTGACCGCGTGACATCTAGTTCTCGAGAGCTGTGCATTCGCACGAGTACAAGTACTGGGGAGATTTATGTGAGGACGAACATCACTTCCTGTTCATACACGTACCCGGCCAAGTGTTTGAAATTCTCTCAAGTTGCTGCAATGTGTGCCGTCTAGCAAACAGCGTGATGGGTGCTAGCTCGATTGTCAACAATTCTCAAACATATTCTTGTGTCACTAGACATTCTACAAGACACGCATTTCCAACGACATTTTCAACGACATGTTGGCTAGATCGGTTGAGGTCTCGGCCCAACTAGCCAACATGTCGTTGGAAATGCCCTGGGTTCGCACTTTCGGCCAAATCTTTTTTTCGGGTTTCGGATCAGGTATAGCTCTCTACCCCAACCCGGACCCGATCCGAACCGAACTAAACTCGGGTTTTTCGGATTTTACCCGAAATCGATCTGAGCCCTACTATCAATACCTCATACTGTAGGGGCCTATGGTCCCAGAGCCTCAATATCAAGCTATGGGCGATATGTCCAAGATTTACATGCTTGCGGACTCCTTCTTCATGAAAAAACATACTCGTTTCATCACCTCTCTGCCTCGGAAGCTGTTTTTCTGAAAGATTTTCACGCACCTATGTTCGATGTGTTTCGCCATTGTTGCTAACACGGACAGCGTGACGCAACGGATGTTGATCTCCTGCTTAGAAACCGTCCAGTCCGGATTTTTCAGGATGGGGCAAATAGGAGCACCTCTCTTCGACTTCCACAAAATTCTTCATGGTCACATTTCTCCCCACCATCTCCATGATCGGATTGTTCCCGTCGACGGTTAAATTTATAGAAATATGTCCATATAAATTTTCCAGGCAATGGCACACGCTTTCTCCCAAAATCCGTTGAAGCCACCATGGACCAAGAGTATTCATCGTTATCACCTGCGTGCAGGAGAATTGGCCGGCTTCAGAGTCCAGCTTCCTATCGATGTTATCGACTTCCAGAACGTGAGACAGCTGCGACTTGTGTTCCGGACAAGCTCTTCACACGATGTGAAGAGCATCGCGAGGCTCAACATCGACGAGATCATTGATCTTCGCCAACAGAGCCTCGAGGTCATCATTGAGAAGGCCAGCAATCTGGCCAGGGAGGCGCAGTTCCAGAGGCTGACCAACAAGCTCAGGAACAAGGTCTGGTGGCAGAACATGGTCAAGCTCTTCATGCTCCTGCTCATACTGGCCCTCGTCCTCTGGCTCTCCATCTGCCACGGCACCAGCTGTGGCAACGAAAATCGAGAGCTCGACAAAGAGATCAAAGTGAACCGCTTCCAACTGATACAGTTACGACAGGAACTCGTGGCCATCTACTGTTGGCTTCCAAAGATCGTTGGAGTGCTACGATGCTACTGCAGTCGTGTAAGATGCGATGGGCCTGGTCTGTCTATCTGTTCTAAATAGATTTCGTTCAACTGTCCGCAGTTCTGTCTGTCCTCGAGATTGTCCTACTCCGGGTTGGTTTCCTACCAATGACAGCGCTCAATGCACTTCCCTCAACGATTTCTCGAGCTCTGTTTTGTTTGCTCGGATCTGAGAACATGTCACATCGCAGCACGTACCCTCTCGAGACGCAACTTTTTCCATGAGAAGGAGAAGGCAGACAGTCTCAGGAGGAGGAGTGTTCGATGGGGATAGTTGATCGGACCAGGACCAGCAGCAGCTGCGACCTGTTGTCACATCAAACCTGGAAGATTTCCCAGCCACGAGAAATAGACAGATGGGATTGGAGACTCGAGCTTAGCTAAGATCAATTCCAGTCCAAGCCAGCCATTCACAATCGAGTGTGTCACTGTCAGAGTCTCAGTCACTGCACACGAAGGAAAATCCCAGCAAGCAACAGGTACGTACAATCAGTACTCCACTTCCATCCAACCAGTGCTGCAACGCAAAGTGGTCAGTTTTCGAAGCTGTCGATTGTACCGTACCATGTGGCAGGCAGCATCTTCTTTCTCGAAACTGCATGCGACGGGCTGATGCTGCGGCTGCTCTGTGCAGCAGTACTATAAAACGTGTTTGGACCTTGCTTTGAGGAGTCGATTGGATCCAAACTGTAGACGTGCACGACGTAGTCGCGACGGTAAACTCTGGAGACAAAATGCCTCTAAAAGACTGACTAGTCGGTCCACTGGCCCAGTCGGCTCGGATCCCATCGGAATTCGGAGCCAGAAGTTGGAATTCCAACAAACGAATGAAAGTAAGGACGAGAGGATGGAACATGATAAAATCAGCGAGAAATGCTACAGCTACGGTCGGCTCTGTTGATCAATTGAATGATGACAACAAGTTCTCGAATCTCGAACCAGCATCGACTCCTTTTCTATTCATTAAGCTTTCTTCGCATTGTAATACGCCCGTGAACGTACGTCTTCATCGACTTTTTTCATCCTCGGGGATTTCTCTGCGAACTGGACGCTGAGAAATGAGAATGTAGAAACTGAGAGAGAACATGGAAGGCCAGAATTGAATCTCCTTGAGATCCAATGAGATGAAGGAGCATAATAAAATCAGCGAGAAATGCTACAGCTACGGTCGGCTCTGTTGATCAATTTGAATGATGACAACAAGTTCTCGAATCTCGAACCAGCATCGACTCCTTTTCTATTCATTAAGCTTTCTTCGCATTGTAATACGCCCGTGGACAGCTCGGTCGTCGACGGTGAGACCATTTTTCCAAGGCCAAAACCTGTATGCATCAAATAACGAAGAACGTACGTCTTCATCGACTTTTCTCATCCTCGGGGATTTCTCTGCGAACTGGACGCTGAGAAATGAGAATGTAGAAACTGAGAGAGAACATGGAAGGCCAGAATTGAATCTCCTTGAGATCCTCGACTGGACGAGGGTCTGAGTGCGTCTAATTAGGAGGAAGGAAAAGAAAAAGAAACTTCTATGAGAACGAACAGAAAATTACAAATTAGAGAAAAAGTAAGCGAGAAGTGGAGCACGTCACTTCAAATATTCAAATCTACACGATTCATCTTGGAGGGTCCGACGAACGGAGTCTTTGGCCGACAAGCCGATCTTTGCACATGACTGCGCGAGAAGGGCATTGTTATCCATTGTCTACTACTGCGTTGAGCTGAAAGTGTAACTCCATTTTTCCATGGTCACTCTGAGGAACTGGAAGTAAACGACACACTGCTAATCAGGAAAAGTTAATCGGCCTCGTCAACTCATTGCCTACGAGAAGAGACGTCCTTGGATGCGACGCGTGGCACGATTAGTATACTTTTCTCTAACATTCGGTATCCCTGATGGGAACGAATGGAAGGGGCAATGGAGACTCCAAAATGCATCATGAACGGGAGTTAACGATCCTACGGATATCGAGAAAGCATCGATCGGGTTCGCGATGCGTGTCATGCGTACAGAGCGGGTGGAAGCTCGTGCGAGAAGGCAAAGTCACGTGTGCTACGAAATTGAAAACTTCTGAAAACAAGCTCTGCAGTTTGAACATCGGAGGCCAGCTTCCTCTCTCTGAAAGCCCGAGAACACGCAATTGGTCTGACGATTCCATCATCATCCATGCATCCATCACTGGCCTGGAAATAATGGTCGAGGGACAGGACCACGACGAAGTGAGGGAGAGATAGACAGAAGAGCATGAGACCAAAGCAAGTGTGGATCATCGGAGGTCGGAAGGATCCTCGCCCTCGCCCTCGCCCTCACCCTCGCTTGTCTCCATGCTGTCGATCATGATTCAATGCCAGTCTTTTCTTTCGATAAAGCATGGCAGCGGCAGGAAGGCAGGCCGGCCTGCCATGCTTGATCGGAGGACGAAACTGACATCAATTCTTCCAATCGACGCTCATTCTCGACTTCAATTTCGGGAGAGCGAAATTGGACTCTGCGTTGCGAGCCCTCCACTTGCCGGGCCATGAATGTCAACGTCTCCGGTGGAGACAGAATCAAAAGCTAGACCTGCATCAAAGCGCGGAGGACGGAGTCTTGGCCTCCCCACCCAGCCTTTCCTCAAACATCCAACATGAGCCCCGGATCACCGAACCCGTTGCAGAAACCACGAACCACCCCCGCAGCATCCAGGTACAGGCGATCGGTCCTGCCTTTTGACAATTTAGGTCCCCCGGGCTTGATCAATTACCATTTACCATTTACCATCGCCAGGCCGAATTCCCCCCCTCTCCCGGTGGACTTCCAATTCCCGGCCGATCTTCATCCGGCAGCCGAGACGCCACTGCCAATCGTCCTCCAGCGTTCTCCTCGACCACCCTCCCCGCTCCCCTTCTGTCCGAATGAGGTCCTCGTACCGGGACGGGGACGAAGGGCCCGACCGACAAGGAAGGGCACGACCGAACGGGAATCCGTCATCATGCGGGAGCCGGGTCTTCAGGCAGCGGCTGGTCTCGAGCAGACAGTGAGGGAGGGACGGGGCTCGGGGCTCCTTACTGCTTCTGTTGCTGCTGTCGTCGTCGGTTTCAAATACTCTCGACGACCCTCGTCACCATCGGTTCTCGCCCGATCAGACAGACAGTCAGTCAATCAATCAATCGATCGATCCCTCAGGTCCTCTCTCTCTCTCTCTCTCTCTCTCTCTCTCTATCTATCTCAATCGAATTTGGTAGTGCAGGAATTGGAGAGCTGCGTTCTCTCACGCTCTCGATCTTGATCGCGATCCGCCGATTCGAGGGGCGATCGAGAGAGGCGGGAGAGCGGGCAGGATGGGATCGATTCTTAGCAGTAGATCAAGCCATTCTTCGCCCCGGGCGAAGAATGGCTTGATCTACAGCTTCGTGGCTCGAGGACCGGGGCCGCAAGTGGTGGTGCTGGCGGAGTACACGCCGGTCAAGGGCAATTTCAAAAAGATCGCCCTCGAGTGCGCGCAGACGCTGGATGCGAACAACCACAGCGTCACGTACACACGCGACAGCCACACCTTCAACTTCCTGGTCGAGGACGGGTTCGCGTACCTGGTGGTGGCGGAGGAGAGCCTCCGGTGGATCCCGTTCGCGTTCCTGGCCCTAGTGAAGGATGATTTCCGGGAAAAGTTTCCGGGCGCGTACAAGGACAAGGCAAACAGCTTGAACAAGCGGTTCCGGCCGATCATGAAGAAGCACATGACCTTCTGCGTTAATCGCCCCGAGGAGCTCGACAAGGTGGCCAATATCCAAAACCAGTTGGACGAGATGAAGGGCATCGCGTGGAGACACATCAACAAGTTCATGGATCACCAAGAGCGCCTCGAGGACGTCTTTAAGAAGTCAGGCAGTCTGGTCAACGAGGCGCAGCACTTCCAGAGGAGGACCAACAGGCTCAAGATCTACCTCTGTTGTCAGAGCATGAAGGTCAAGCTCATCGTGCTCCTGCTCATCGTCCTCTTGGCCGTCGTCCTCTGGCTCTTCATCTGCCTCGACGGCAGCGGCAACAACACCCCCGCTTGTAATCAAGCTCATCTTGTAATCAATCTGGGTTTTAGATTTCTCAAAAGTTGTATAGATTTTTTATGAAAAAATTAACATAAGTTGGTAACTTGCATAAGTAAAATTAACCCTTGTACATTATCAAAGAATTATGTAAAGAATGTCATTTTAATAAAAATCTACTCATAACACAATGCTTATCGAATTCTAATTCAACTATATAGATTTTAAGTAAAAAATTCTTATTGTTAAAGAATGTCAATTATTTATTACTCAAGTATTATAATCTAAAATATCAAGTAAAAATATAATTGTTTTATGGTATGTTTAAATTTCCATGTTTGTTAATTTGAAGGTATAATTATCGTACATCATTTATTTTCTCTTAATCTTTATTCAAAAAATTATAAATTTATCATTTCAAAAAAGAATAGATATTTTTTAAACCAGATGTAATTCTAACGGTAGTTAATTTCAATTTAATATCATCAAATATTTGAATTTAATTAATTTCAAATAATGTTTATTAAAAGTTTTTTTATCACCTTAATCGTTCATCATACAAATTTTATTGTTTGTTACCAAATAAAAATTTATTGATGTAAAAAGAACAAACATTATTTACTCACCAATGTTTTGCGATAAATTACATAAAGTATAATCCAATTTAAAAATTCATCATTAACATATTGAATCATATCAATAATTTTGATCTTCACACCGCAATCAGAAAGAAATACTTGATAGGACCCCATCCGAATGCGTAAGTCTTGATGAGACCTATACGTTCTATTTTACCCGATGGTATACTTCCCACGGCAGTTCAGTCCACCATGTTCTACTACGAGTTCTTGTAATTGCTTTGAATCCGGGTTAGGAAAAGCAGTGCGACTCTTTGTTGAAAAGTGACTTCTCCCCGTAGGCACTTCACGGACCAAAATATTCAACTTACTTGAATTTTAGAAAAACAAGTAAGGAGTAAGTAGATTATGCCCATACATTACAACTATAAAATCATTTTGGGAAGTGAAAAATTGGACTCTTGCATGATGAAGATTGGGTACTAACTTCACTTCAAGAAGAATATCTCTTTTTCATTCAAGTGGAAACAAAGCAGTTACAAGAACATAAATGACTGGTGAACAGTCTGGTAACATAGAACTTCTTGGATGCCATATAGTATGGGTACCATCAAGTAAATTTCTCTTTTAATAATATCACTCTTGTCATATTTCGTTACATGGGCAAGACAAAAAGAGTAATTGTGAACTTTCCTCCAAATATTCTCTCGTCTTCGACTTTTTTCTTGCACATTCTCCACCTCTCTTCCACAAATGAAAGTTGTTATTGTCGTCTTTCAGCTCCTCCGTTTCACATTTCTACGTAAGCACCTTCTTCGCACTCTCGGAGCAGCTGCCTCCACTGTTTGACATTTGACGTTCGTTTTGCTTGACAGCCTCAATTCCGCCTGGCTGAATCGACGGGAAGCTTCTTGATGCTTCGTCCCCGATGAGATCTACTCTGTGAGGCCTTAATCAAGTCAAATATGGTGTCAAGAATTTCTTGGCAGCAATCCCAGCCTCGCTGGTCTTCTCGACACTGCCGAGAGCAATGATCAGGCAAAGGATCGGACATTTGAACTGCGTCATCTTGTTGTCCGAATCGTCTTGAGTACAGTCATTGAATCTGGTGTTGCACCATCTCTCCATTATTCTTGTCTGGGTTCTTCTTCCGAAGAAGGAAAAGGACCTCCTCGTCATCAACCAGAGCAATTCCAAGTTTGAGAAAAAGCTGGAGCAATTGCGTTGAGTATGCTCCAAACAGTAAATTCAGACCACATTAGCCGAAGATCAACGTTTTGCACACGGATGGGGTGAAACTTCCAGATGAGATTCTCGTCTCACTTCCTTCTAGCAAAAAAGCTCCGGCTGGTTGCCCATGGATTCGAGAACAAATTGGATTTGAATCTGGAGAAAACTTTGAGGCTTATGTATTATTCTTTGGCAAAAAAATGGAGAAGGTGATTTCCTCAGGCATCCATCCAGATTTTGATAACAAGTTGGAGCTCAGTGGACTGCACAATTTGGAGCTCGAAGTCATGGACTTGTCTGTTAGCATGCCAGAGCTCTCCTTTTCGGGGCATTCGTTGGAACTCCACGCGTGCCAAAGGGATAGCTTCTCGTGATGGCACAGTGCTCGCACTCTCTGATTTTTTCTCGGGGAAAATGATGACGAGAGAACAAAGTCTGAAAAAAAATCGGAAAAGGAAACTTGATAATGAACTTACTTAGATAATTTATTGTTATATAGGAAGTCTGGCAAAAACTCTTTACGAAAATATTTATACGCCGACCGAAAGAACACACGTGTTTTGAAGTGTTGAGTCTATAGGTTCGTTGTTGTTTTATAAACTTAAGCACTTGAGTCTTCATATATTATCATAATCTTGCTATATGAACTTGCTAATACTTCCTACACAATTTGGTATTTGTTATGCTATGTACTTGGTCTTGTAAACTATGATACTGATGAATATCTGAAATATGCTTGATTGAATGGTTTAGCATTATAGAAAACAATGCAAATCAAGCTGATAATTTTCGGCACAAGTCGAACAACGTTTAATTTCTGTCAAAGTTTGAGACTGAGATATGTGAAAAAGTGATGTATATGGCTCAAAATGAATAAATATCTCGTGTTCTAGGGGAGTGTAAAGCTTTAGGGATACACAAGGTTTATAATTTGTGAAAGGGTACAATGCTGGAATTCATCTCAGATTGTTTCAGAAAATCTGATCCTCCTGTAGTGAAAGACTGTCATCATGTGTTCCAGAGATGTTACAAACGATGTAAGAGAAAAAGAAGGGATATTTGTGTCCTTTGGGGTCATCTGAAACTAACCAATTATGGTAGAAGTCCTAACCTTGCATCGAACATTATTCATTTTTAAGAAAACATTAAGAAAAGAGAATGTATCGTGAAGGTTAGCAGTGTCCCGTGGTTTCATCTGAAACAAACCAATTATGGTAGAAGTCCTAATCTTGGATCAAACATAGTTCATTCTCAAATAAACAATAAAAGAAAAGAGACTGTAACGTGAAGAATATTAGTGTCTCGCAGTTTCATCTGAAACAGATCAATTCTGTCAAAAGTCCTGACCTTGTATCTAAGTCATTTCTTGTTTAATTGATTGAATTAGTGGAACTGAAGATCATCCATGTTTTCCTTGTTCACATTTTTTCGAATGACTTTCGTAGACATAAGTTGCGAATTCGGCTATTTCCTGGCAGAGTTTGCTCTACCACAATCATCTTTCGATATTATCCCTTTGTTGCTCGCAGTCATCTACATCAGCAGGCACTGTGTTTTCTAGCCGTCAGGAAGCACAAGACCTTGAAGCTCCAGTATTCTGAAGAAAGGTTGCGCTACGAGCTGAAACTTGTGAAGAGACCTACGAAGTGATATTATATTTCATACATTTCCCTCATTTGCATCTCCTACAAAGAACAAATCTTTCATCGAAATTCATGATTCACTCATCGCAGGCCGTTTGAGTCGAGTGAAGGTACCTGCCTGCCAGAGAGAACGTAAAAGGTCTTGTCCTTGTACAAGGAAAAGGGGAAGAATATGTGGTCAACCTCACCGATTACTTCGGGTCGAAATCTCATTATCCATATAACGGTAAGTCAGTTCGCACCCTCTCTAGACGCAACTTTTTCCATGAGAAGGAGAAGTCAGACAGTCTCAAGTGGAGGAGTGTTCGATGAAGAGAGTTGATCGGACCAGGACCAGCAGCAGCTGCAACCTGTAGTCCAATCAAACCTGGAAGATTTTCCAGCCACGAGAAATAGACAGATGGGATAGGAGACTCGAGCTTAGCTAAGATCAATTCCGGTCCAAGCCAGCCATTCACATTCGAGTGTGTCACTGCACACCAAGGAATCCCAGCAAGCAACAGGTACGTACAATCAGTACTCCACTTGCATCCATCCAGTGCTGCAACGCAACTTGGTCAGATTTCGATGCTGTCGTTTGTACCGTACCATGTGGCAGGCACCATCTTCTTTCTCGAGACTGCATGTGACGGCCTGATGCTGCAGCTGCTCTGTGCAGCAGTATTATAAAACCTGTTTGGATCTTGCTATGAGGAGTCGATTGGATCCCAACTGTAGACGTGCACGACGTACTCGAGACGGTAAAACCTGGAGACAAAAGGCCTCTCAAATACTGACTCGTTGGTCTTGATCTTAAACCCTTTGGGTACCCCGGGCGTGATCTATTACCATTGACCATCGCCAGGCCGAGTTCCCCCCCCTCCTCCGGTGGACTTCCAATTCCCGGACGATCTTCATCCGGCAGCCGAGAAGCCACTGCCAATCCTCCTCCAGCGTTCTCCTCGACCCCGCTCCCCTCCCCGCTCGCCTTCTGTCCAAATGAGGTCCTCTTACCGGGACGGGGACGAAGGGCCCGACCGGCAAGGAAGGGCACGATCGAACGGTAAACCGTCATCATGCGGGAGCCCGGTCTTCAGGCAGCGGCGGGTCTCGAGCAGACAGTGAGGGAGGGACGGGGCTCGGGGCTCCTTACTGCTGTTGTTGCTGCTGTCGTCGTCGGATTCAAATACTCTGGACGACCCTCGTCACCTTCGGTCCGCGCCCGATCAGACAGTCAGTCAGTCAATCAGTCGATCCCTCAGGTCCTCTCTCTCTCTCTCTCTCTCGATCGAATTCGGTAGTGCAGGAATCGGAGAGCTGCGTTTTCTCGCGCTCTCGATCTTGATCGCGATCCGCCGATTCGAGGGTAGATCGAGCGAGGCGGGAGAGCGGGCAGGATGGGGACGATTCTTAGCTGTAGATCAAGCAATGCCCCGCCCCGGGCGAAGAATGGCTTGATCTACTGCTTCGTGGCTCGAGGAACGAGGCGGGGAGGGTTGGTGGTGCTGGCGGAGTGCAATCCGGTCAAGGGCAGATTCAAAAGGATCGGCCTTGAGATCGCGATGACGCTGGCGGCGCACAACCACAGCGTCACGTACACATGCGACCGGGACAACTTCACCTTCCTGGTCGACGACGGGATCACGTACCTGGTGGTGGCGGAGGAGAGCTTGCCGCAGGAAATCTCGTTCAAATTCCTGGCCCGAGTGAAGAATGATTTCCGGAAAAATTTTCCGAACTGGTACGCGGCCAAGGCGCACAGCTTGGACGAGCAGTTCTGGCCGATTATGCTGCATCACATGACCTTCTGCGACGAGGCGGCCAGCATTAAAAATCGGGTCATAATGCTCCCCTACATCCCGATCATAGAACCCCAACCGAATCTCGAGGAGCCGGTGCAGTTACCGAGGACGACCAGCACGCTCAGTAACAACCTCTGGTGGCAGAACAATAAGGTCAAGCTCTTGGTGATCCTGCTCATCTTGGCCGTGGTACTCTGGCTCTCCATCTGCCACGACGGCAGTGGCAACAACCACCCCGGTTGCAATCAACCTCATCTTGTAATCAATATGGGGTTTAGATTTTTCAGAAGTTCTATAGACTTTTACTGAAAAAATATATAATTGTATAAAGCTTTTAGAGAGGTAGACTTCGGTAGATGATTTTCAAATTTAATTATGTACATTTTTCAAGAATATTGTAAAAAATGTAATATGTAATAGATATTTGTTCGTAACATAATGTTTGTCGAATTCTAAGTCAATTAAAAAACTCAATTTGTCAAAGAGCGTCAAATATTTGTTATTTATGTATATAAATCTAGAATATCAGACATAAACATCTCAAATAGAATTATAATGAGACGGATTGTTTTCTGGTATATATTCATTTCCATATTTGTCTATTTAAAGAAATATTATACACGTAAGGTATTTAACGTATATAATACGTAAGCACCTTATGCGCACTTTCGGATTATTAATTTCGGAACAGTTGCTTGACAACCTCAATTCCGCCTGGCTGAATCGACGGGAAGCTTCTTGATGCTTCGTCCCCGATGAGATCTACTCTGTGAGGCCTTAATTAAATCAAATATGGTGTCAAGAATTCCTTGGCAGCAATCCTAGCTTCGCTGGTCTTCTCGACACGGCCGAGAGCAATGATCAGGCAAAGGATCGGGCATTTGAACTGCGTCATCTTGTTGTCCGAATCGTCTTGAGTACAGTCGTTGAATCTGGTGTTGCACCAATCTCTCATTTATTCTGGTCTGGGTTCTTCTTTCCCAAGAGGCAAAACGACCTCCTCGTTATTAGCCAGAGCATTTCCAAGGTTGAGAACAAGCTGTAGCAATTGCGTTTTGTATGATCCAGACACTAAATTCAGACCAAAGTTGCCGAAGATCAACGTTTTGCACACGGATGGGGTGAAATCCACACCACTGGAGTAATCCTTCCAGATGGGATTCTCGTCTCACTTCCTCCTCACAAAAAAATCAGGCCGGTTGCCCATGGATTCGAGAACAAATTGGATTTGGATCTGGAGAAAAAGTTGAGGCCTATGTTTTTTTCTTCGGCTAAATATATTGGAGAAGGCGATATCCTCAGGCATCGATCCAGATTTAAGGAACGAGTTGGAACTCAGCGGACTGCACAATTTGGAGCTCGAAGTTAAGGGCTTGTCCCTTGGCATGCCACAGCTCTCCTCTTCGGGGCGTTTGTTGGAATTCCACTCGTGCCAAAGGGATAGCTTCTCGGTGATGGCACAGTGCTCGCACTCTCTGATTTTTTCTCGGGGAAAATGATTACGAGAGAACAAAGTCTGAAAACAAATCCAAAAAGGAAACTTAATAATGAACTTACTTAATAAAATTATTTTTATATAAGGAGTATGGCAAAAACTCTTACGAGAATACTTATACGACGACTACAAGAACACACGTGTTTCGATGTGTTGAGTCTATAAGTTGGTTGGGGTTTTATAAATTTAGGCACTTGAGTTTTCATATATTATAATAATCTTGCTTTATGAACATGCTAATACTTAGACTAATTCCTACACAATTTGGTATTTTTATGCTATGTACTTGGTCTTGTCAACTATGATACGTGATGAATATCTGAAATATGCTTGATTGAATGGTGTAGCATTGTAGAAAACAATGCAAATCAAGCTGATAAAATTCGGCACAAGTCGAACAACTTTTGAATTCTGTCAAAGTTTGAGACTGAGATATGTGAAAAAGTGATGTACATGGCTCAAAATGAATAAATATCTCGTGTTCAAGGGGAGTGTAAAGCTTTAGGGAGCATAAGGTTTATAATTTGTGAGCGGGTACAATGCTGGATTTCAACTCAGAATGTTTCAGAAAATCTGATCCTCCTGTAGTAAAAGACTGTCATCCTGTGTTCCCGAGATGTTACAAACGATGTAAGAGAAAAAGAAGGGATATTTGTGTCCTTTGGTTTTATGGTAAAAGTCCTAACCTTGCATCAAACATGATTCTATTTTAAGGAACCAGTTAAAGAAAACAGAATGTATCGTCAAGGTTATCAGTGTCCCGTGGTTTCATCTGAAACAAACCAATTATGGTAGAAGTCCTAACCTTGGATCAAACATAGTTCATTTTCAAGAAAACAATAAAAGAAAAGAGACTGTAAGCTGAAGAATATTAGTATCCCGTGGTTTCATCTGAAACAGATCAATTCTGTCAAAAGTCCTGACCTTGTATCTAAGTCATTTCTCGTTTAATAAGTTGAATTAGTGGAACTGAAGATCATCCATGTTTTTCTTTGTTCACATTTTTTCGAATGACTTTCGTAGACATAAGTTGCGAATTCGGCTATTTCCTGGCAGAGTTTACTCTACCACAATCATCGTTCGATATTATCACTTTGTTGCTCGCAGTCATCTACATCAGGAGGCACTGTGTTTTCGAGCCGTCGGGAAGCACAAGACCTTGAAGCTCCAGTATTCTGAAGCAAGACTGGAAGGGGCAATGGAGAGGCTGAAAGCCCGAGAACACGCAATTGGTCTGACGATTCCATCATCCATGCATCCATCACGGGTCTGGAAATAATGGTCGAGGGACAGGACGAGGACGAAGTGAGAGAGAGATAGACAGAAGAGCGTGATACCGAAGCAAGTGTGGATCATCGGAGGTCGGAACGATCGTCCTCGCCCTCGCTTGTCTCCATGCTGTCGACATGATTCAATGCCAGTCTTTTCTTTCGATAAAGCATGGCAGCGGCAGGAAGGCAGGCCAGCCTGCCATGGTTGATCGGAGGACGAAACTGACATCAATTCTTCCGATCGACGCTCATTCTCGACTTCAATTTCGGGAGAGCGAAATTGAACTCTGCGACGCGAGCCCTCCACTTGCCGGGCCATGAAGGTCGAGGTATCCGGCGGAGACAGAATCAAAAGCTAAGCTGCATCAAAGCGCTGAGGACGGAGTCATGGCCACCCCACCCAGCCTTTCCTCAAACGTCCAACATGAGCCCCGGACCACCGAATCCGTTGCAGAAACCATGGAAGTCCACCCCTGGAGCATCCAGGTACAGGCGATCGCCAGGCCGAATTCCCCCTCTCCCCCGGTGGACTTTCCAATTCCCGGCCAATCTACATCCGGCCGCCGAGAAGCCACTGCCAATCCTCCTCCAGCGTTCTCCTCGGCCCCCATCCCCGCTCCCCTTCTGTCCGAACGAGGTCCTCGTACCGGGACGGGGACGAAGGGCTCGACCGACAAGGAAGGGCACGATCGAACGGGAATCCGTCATCATGCGGGAGCCGGGTCTTCAGGCAGCGGCGGGTCTCGAGCAGACAGTGAAGGAGGGAAGGGCTCGGAGCTCGTTACTGCTGCTGCTGCTGTCGTCGGATTCAAATACTCTCGACGGCCCTCGTCACCATCGGTCCGATCAGACAGACAGTCAGTCAATCAGTCGATCGATCGATCCCTCAGGTCCTCTCTCTTTCTCTCTCTCTCTCTCTATCTCTCTCAATCGAATTCGGTAGTGCAGGAATTGGAGAGCTGCGTTCTCTCACGCTCTCGATCTTGATCGCGATCCGCCGATTCGAGGGGCGATCGAGAGAGGCGGGAGAGCGGGCAGGATGGGAGCGATTCTTAGCAGTAGATCAAGCCATTCTCCGCCCGGGCCGAAGAATGGCTTGATCTACTGCTTCGTGGCTCGAGGAACGGGGCCGGGAGTGGTGGTGCTAGCGGAGTACAAGCCGTTAGAGGGCAACTTCCACAAGATCGGCCTCGAGTGCGCGAAGAAGCTGGCGGCGAAGAACCACAGCATCACGTACACATGCAACCACACCATCACGTACACGTGCGACCACAGCACAACGGTCACGTGCGAGCAGCACACCTTCAACTTCCTCGTCAAGGACAAATTCACGTACCTGGTGGTGGCGGAGGAGAGCTTCCCGCGGGAGATCCCGTTGGCGTTCCTGGTCCGAATGAAGGATGATTTCCGGGAAAAGTTTCCGGACGCGTACAAGGCCAAGATGAAGGCGCACAGCTTGGACAAGCGGTTCCGGCCGATCATGAAGAAGCACGTGACCTTCTGCGTGCAGCACCACCTCGAGAGGCTCGACCAGGTGGCCAATATCCAAAACCAGTTGGAGGAGGTAAAGGCTCTTCTTCGGACCAACATTTACAAGGTCATGGATCGCCATGAGCGCCTCGAGGTCGTCGTTGAGAAGGCCGAGATTCTGGCCAACTTGGCGGAGCAGTACCGAGAGAACACCAACACGCTCAGGAAGAAGTTCTGGTGGCAGAACATGAAGGTCAGGCTCTTCGTGCTCCTTCTCATCCTGGCCGTCGTCATCTGGCTCTCCATCTGCCACGACGGCCGCGGCTTCAACACCCCCGCTTGTAATCAACCTCATCTTCTAATCAATTTGGGTTTCAGATTTCTCAAAAGTTCTATAGATTTTTTTAGAAAAAGTAACCTTTGTATAAATTTTTAGAGATGGAATTGTTAATAGGTGATTTTCAAACATAATTGTGTACATTTTCTAATAATTTTGTAAAAAATATATTTTTTAATAGATATTTATTCATAACATAATGTTTGTCGAATTCTAATTTAATTGTATATATTTCAACTAAAAAATTTATATTATCAAAGACTGTCAAATATTTACTATTTATGTATTATAATCTAGAATATACACATAAACATATCAAGTAGAATTATAATGAGATTGATTATTTTCTGGGTTGTATACGTTTCCATGTTTATTTATTTGAAGATATGATTATCATTCATCGTTTTTTTTGGTCTTAATCTATATTCAAAAAAATTTAAATCTAACATTTCCAATAACAGTAGAATATTTTTTAATAGAAGTGTATCTAATGGTAGTTAATGTAAATTTAATATCGTCAAATATTTCAATTTAATAATTTATTATTTATAACCCTGATCACTCTTCATACAGATTATATTTTTTTTTTTTGAAAAAATATTTAAAAATTTCTTAATGTGAAAAGAACAAATATCATTTCCTCACCGATGTCTCGAGATAAATTACATAGTGTATACTTCAATTTATAAAATCATCATCAAATTATTGAATCACTAAATTTATTGTTTACTATCAATAAATTTGATAGTCACACCGCAATACATGATATCACTCTTGTCGTACTTCGTTACATCAAAGGACTGGGCAAGACAAAAAGACTAATTGTGAACTTTACTCCAAATATTTTCTCGTCTTCGACTTTTTTCTCGAACATTCTTCACCTCTCTTCCACAAATGAAATTTTTTATTGTAGTCTTTCAGCTCCTCCGTTTCACATTTCTACATAACCACCTTCTTCGCACTCTCGGATTACTCTTTTCGCAGCAGTTGCCTCCACTGCTTGACATTTGACGTTCGTCTTGCTTGACAACCTCAATTCCGCCTGGCTGAATCGACGGGAAGCTTCTTGGTGCTTCGTCCCCGATGAGATGTAGTCTGTGAGGCTTTAATTAAGTCAAACATGGTGTCAAGAATTCCTTGGCAGCAATCCCAGCCTCGCTGGTCTTCTCGACACGGCCGAGAGCAATGATCAGGCAGAGGATCGGACATTGTCTCACGATGCCTCATTGTGAGCGGTGACTTTGAACTGCGTCATCTTGTTGTCCGAGTCGTCTTCAGTACAGTCGTTGAATCTGGTGTTGCACCAATCTCTCCATTTATTCTTGTCTGGGTTCTTCTTGCCGAAGAGGCAGAAGGACCTCCTCCTTATTAACCAGAGCATTTCCAAGGTTGAGAACAAGCTGGAGCAATTGCGTTGAGTATGATCCAGACAGTAAATTCAGACCACATTTGCCGAAGATCCACGTTTTGCACACGGATGGGGTGAAATCCACAGTCTCCACAATCCACTTCCAGATTCTCGTCTCACTTCCTTGTAACAAAAAACTCAGGCTGGTTGCCCATGGATTCGACAACAAATTTGATTTGCAGCTGGAGAAAAAATTTAGGCCTATGTATTATTCTTTGCCAAAAAAAATTTGGAGAAGGTGATTTCCTCAGGCATCCATCCAGATTTTAAAACAAGTTGGAGCTCAGCGGACTGCACAATTTAGAGCTCGAAGTCATGAACTTGTCCGTTGGCATGCCACAGCTCTCCTCTTCGGGGCGTTCGTTGGAACTCCAGTCGTTACAAAGGGATAGCATCTCGGTGATGCCACAACGCTCGCACTCTCTAATTTTCTCGGGGAAAATCATTACGAGGGAAAAAAGTCTGAAAACAAATTCAAAAAGGAAACTTAATAATGAACTTAGTCAGATTAACTAATGTTATATAAGAAGCGTCTCCAAAACTCTTTACGAAATATACTTATACGCAGACTACAAGAGCACACTTGTTTCAATGAGTTGAGTCTATAGGTTGGTTGTGGTATCATAAACTTAGGCACTTGAGTTGTCACATATGATTATAATCTTGCTATAAGAACATGCTAAATACTTAGACTAATTCCTACAGAATTCCGTACTTTTAACGCAATGTACTTGGTCTTGTTAACTGTGATACGTGATGAATATCTGAATTATACATGATTGAATGGTTTAGCATTATAAAAAACAATGCGAATCAAGCTGATAAAATTAAGCACAAGTCGAACAACGTTTGATTTCTGTGAAAGCTTGAGATTAAGATATGTGGAAAAGTGAATAAATATCTCGTGTTTAAGGGGAGTGTAAAGCTTTAGGGAGACATAAGGTTTATAATTTGTGAGCGGAATTCTGAAATGAAATCTCAGAATGTTTCAGAAAACCTGATCCTCCTGTAGGGAAAGACTGTCATCATGTGTTCCCGGGATATTACAAAAGATGGGAAACAAGAAGAAGGGATATTTGTGTCCCTTGGTTTCATCTGAAACAAACCAATTAGGGTAGAAGTCCTAACCTTGCATCAAACATAATTCATTTCTGAGAAAACAGTAAAAGAAAAGAGGCTGTAACGTGAAGGATATTAGTGTCCCGTGGTTTCATCTGAAACAGATCAATTCTGTCAAAGGTCCTGACATTGTATCTCACATAATTCATTTTTAATAAAACAATAAAAGAATAGAGACTGTAACGTGAGGGATATTACTGTCCCGTGGTTTTATCTGAAACAGATCAATTCTGTCAAAAGTCCTCACCTTGTATCTAACTCATTTCACAGTTAATTAGTTGAATTAGTGGAACTGAAGATCATCCATGTCTTTCCTTGTTCACATTTTTTCGAATGACGTTCGTAGACACAAGTTACTAATTCGGCTATTTCCGGGTAGAGTTTGCTCTACATCAATCATCGTTTGATATGATCACTTTGTTGCTCGCAGTCATCTACATCAGGAGGCACTGTGTTTTCGAGCCGTCGGGAAGCACAAGACCTTGAAGCTCCAGTATTCTGAAGCAAGGCTGCGCTACGAGCTGAGACTTGTGAAGAGACCTACGAAGTGAAATTATTCTTTATACATGAGGGACTCGTTCCCTCATTTGCAGCTCCAAAAAGAACAAATCAATCATCGAAATTCATGATTCACTCTTGGCAGGCCGTTTGAGTCGAGTGAAGGTACCTGGCTGCCAGGGAGAACGTAAAAGGGCTTGTCCTTGTGCACAAGGAAAAGGGGAAGAATATGTGGGCAATCTCACCGATTACTTCGGGTCGAAATCTCATTATCCATATAACGGTAAGTCGGTTCGCACCCTCTTTAGACGCAACATTTTCCATGAGAAGGAGAAGGCAGACAGTCTCAGGAGGAGGAGTGTTCGATAGGGAGAGTTGATCGGACCAGGACCAACAGCAGCTGCGACCTGTAGTCTTATCAAACCTGGAAGATTCCCAGCCACGAGAAATAGACAGATGGGATTGGAGACTCGAGCTTAGCTAAGATCCATACCGGTCTAAGCCAGCCATTCACAATCGAGTGTGTCACTGCACACGAAGGAATCCCAGCAAGCAACAGGTACGTACAATCAGTACTCCACTTGCATCCATCCAGTGCTGCAACGCAACTTGGTCAGATTTCGATGCTGTCGTTTGTACCGTACCATGTGGCAGGCACCATCTTCTTTCTCGAGACTGCATGTGACGGCCTGATGCTGCGGCTGCTCTGTGCAGCAGTATTTAAAACCTGTTTGGACCTTGCTATGAGGAATCGATTGGATCCCAACTGTAGACGTGCACGACGTACTCGAGACGGTAAAACCTGGAGACAAAATGCCTCTCAAATACTGACTCGTTGGTCTTGATCTTAAACCCTTTGGGTACCCCGGGCTTGATCTATTACCATTTACCATTTACCATCACCAGGCCGAGTTCCCCCCCTCCTCCGGTGGACTTCCAATTCCCAGCCAATCTTCATCCGGCAGCCGAGAAGCCACTGCCAATCCTCCTCCCAGCGTTCTCCTCGACCCCCCTCCCCGCTCCACTTCTGTCCAAATGAGGTCCTCTTACCGGGACGGGGACGAAGGGCCCGACCGGCAAGGAAGGGCACGATCGAACGGGTTACCGTCATCATGCGGAGCCGGGCCTTCAGGCAGCGTCTCGAGCAGACAGTGAGGGAGGGACGGGGCTCGTGGCTCGGGGCTGCTGCTGCTGCTGACGTCGTCGGATTCAAATACTCTCGACGACCCTCGTCACCATCGGTCCGCGCCCGATCAGACAGTCAGTCAATCAATCAGTCGATCCCTCAGGTCCTCTCTCTCTCTCTCTCTCTCAATCGAATTCGGTAGTGCAGGAATCGGAGAGCTGCGTTCTCTCACGCTCTCGATCTTGATCGCGATCCGCCGATTCGAGGGGCGATCAAACGAGGCGGGAGAGCGGGCAGGATGGGGGCGAATCTTAGCAGTAAATGCGATTCTTCGCCCGATGTGAAGAATCACTTGATCTACTGCTTCGTGGCACGAGGAACGGGGCCGGGAGTGGTGGTGCTGGCGGAGTACAAGCCGGTAGAGGGCAATTTCCAGAAGATCGGCCTCGACTGCGCGCGGATGCTGGCGGCGAACGACCACAGCATCACGTACATATGCAACACCGTCGCGTACACGTGCGACCACAGCACCACGGTCCCGTCCGAGCAGCACACCTTCAACTTCCTGGTCGAGGACGAGATCACGTACCTGGTGGTGGCAGAGAAGGATGTCGACCAGAATACTTCGTTATGGTTCCTGGTCCGAGTGAAGGATGATTTCCAGAAAATGTTTCTTAAAAGGTACATAGCCGAGGCCAGGGCGCACAGCTTGGACAAGCGGTTACGGCCGATCATGAAGAAGCACATGACCTTCTGCGTGCAGGACCACCTCAAAAGGCTCGACAAGAAGGCCAAGATCGGAAAGCAGCTGGAGGAGGTAAAGGCTCTTTGTTTGGGCAACATTTCCAAGCTCATGGATCGCAATGAGAGAGTCGAGGACCTCGAAGAGAAGGTCGAGATTCTGGTCGTGGAGACGGAGAAGTTCGAGAAGGTCGCCCGCGAGTTAAGCGACTCCTTGTCTCCGAGCGTGTTCTTCCCGAACCCCTTGTTCGAGAAGAACACCCACACGCTTAGGAACAAGCTCTGGAGGCTGAACAAAAACACGCTCTTCGTGCTCCTGCTCATCCTGGCCGTCGTCCACCGGCTCTTCATCTGCCACGAAGCAAAAGGCAGCGGCAACGACCCCCGGCAGCGGCGCCAAAAAGAAGTTGTCGGCTTCTTATGTAATAACCCACTAAAAGCTAAAACTGCAATATAGTGGTAGAAAGGTCGAACCCACAGGGTACAAAGTGTCACGTTTTAACATACTATTGAGGAGTTTGAATTCTCAGGCAACTGTCACTCCCAGAAATACTGCAAGTGTCCACTCGGAGCGCACTCGGAGGTCGCACAGTGCAGCGTAACACACACACACACACACCTGAAACTACAGAAACACAACCCAGAGATCCGTTAGGACCTCTACTCAAGATTTCAGGGGGAAAGTCTCTCGCGAGCACACTCGGCAAAGCTGCGGGCAGTGACTTCCAACTCCGGCTTTTACAACACTTCCACTAGCTTGCTGCTAGTGTAGGAAACCCGGTTTGGACTGCCTACTTCGGATCGAAGTCACTCCTACGCGGTGAACAACACTCTCAACTCACAAAACGCGCAGAGAACACAGGTCCGCACTGAAGGACTCACTGAGAAACATTCCAGTAACACAACAACAGTCTATTGAAGAGTTTGAATTCTCAGGCACTTGTCATTCCCAGAAATACTACAGGGGTTACCCTCAAGGCACCTGTTGCAGCGTAACCTGAATTTACAACCAAGGCTTACACGAAGTAGCAAAACTTCACTTTGGCATTCAGGGGAAAAATCCCAAGGAGTACAATCAGAAAGAAACACTCGAAGGTGTAGGGGCGAAACTGTTCAAGTATCTAACTAGTCACTGGCTCTGAGCATCGGCAGTCACCCGCAGGTGCAGATCCGAACTACTCAAGTCTCTAACCAATGTACTAGCTCTGAACATTCGGCCGAAGGCCTTCAGCTACAAAATGCGGAACGCTAAGTTGTAACTCCTCGTGCGTGGTGACAGAACTCAAGGACACAAACACGCAAAGGAAATGGGTTCCTGATCTGCACTTCTGATGGGAAAGAACCCCAGGCAAAACGCCTGGAACTATTTTATAACTTCTACCCCCCTTTGTAATCAAGCTCATCATCATCATCATGTGATCAATTTGGGTTTTAGATTTTTCAAAAGTTTTAAAGACTTTTTATGGAAAAATAAACACTGGCAGAAGATTTTTAGAGCTTGAAATTTTAATAGATGATTTTCAAACATACTGATGTATATTTTGTATAAAAAATCTTGTAAAAAATGTAATCTTTAACTGATATTTGTTCATAATACAATGCTTGTCATGTTTTTATTCAAATGTATATATTTTAAGTAAAAATTTATATTGTCAAATATTTATCACTCATGTATTATAATCTAGAATATTATCTCAATACTAAATATCTCAAGTAAAATTGTAATGAGGTTGATATACATTTCTATGTTTATTTTATTTCAAGGTATATTTATCAAACATCATTTTACTCTCTTAATATATATTCAAAAATCTTTAAATTTAACGTTTCAGATAAGAGTGGATTTTTTTTTAATCATATGTAAATCTAATGGTATTTAATGTAAATATAATATTATCACATATTTGAATTTAATAGATATCAAAAAAATTCATTAAATTTTTTTATTATTTCTTTTTTTATCACCTTGATCATTCATCCTACATTCTTGTTCATCTTGTACATACATTGACCCGGCTCCCGCATGATGACGGATTCCCGTTCGATCGTGCCCCTCCGGGCCGGTCGGGCCCTTCGTCCCTGTCCCGGTACGACGACCTCATTCGGACAGATGGGGAGCGGGGAGGGGGGTCGAGGAGAACGCTGGAGGAGGATTGGCAGTGGCGTCTCGGCTGCCGGATGAAGATCGGCCGGGAGTTGGAAGTCCACCGGGGGAGAGGGGGAATTCGGCCTGGCGATCGCCTGTACCTGGATGCTCCTGGGGTGGACTTCCATGGTTTCTGCAACGAATTCGGTCATCCGGAACTCATGTTGGACGTTTGAGGAAAGGCTGGGCCATGACTCCGTCCTCAGCGCTTTGATGCAGCTTTAGCTTTTGATTCTGTCTCCTCGACCTTCATGGCCCGGCAAGTGGAGGGCTCGCGTCGCAGAGTCCATTTTCGCTCTCCCGAAGTTGAAGTCGAGAATGAGCGTCGATTGGAAGAATTGATGTCAGTTTCGTCCTCCGATCAAGCATGGCAGGCCGGCCTGCCTGCCTTCCTGCCGCTGCCATGCTTGATTGAAAGAAAAGACTGGCATTGAATCATGATCGACAGCATTGAGACAAGCGAGGACGAGGGCGAGGATCCTTCCGACCTCCGATGATCCACACTTGCTTTGGTCTCACGCTCTTCTGTCCATCTCTCCCTCACTTCGTCGTGGTCCTGTCCCTCGATCATTATTTCCAGACCCGTGATGGATGGATGGATGATGGAATCGTCAGACCAATTGCGTGTTCTCGGGCTTTCAGAGAGAGGAAGCTGGCCTCCGATGTTCAAAAATTGCAGAGCATGTTTTCAGAAGTTTTCAATTTCGTAGCACACGCGAGTTTGCCTTCTCGCACGAGCTTCCTCCCGCTCTGAGCGCATGACACTCATTGCGAACCCGATCGATGCTTTCTCGATATCCATGGGATCGTTAACTCCCGTTCATGAAACATTTTGGAGTCTCCATTGCCCCTTCCCTTCGTTCCTATCAGGGATACCGACTAACGACGAAAGTTAGAGAAATAACGCGCTGAGAGTAAGGGATACTGATCGTGCCATGCGTCGCATCCAAGTACGTCTCTTCTCGTGGGCAGTGAGTCGACGAGGTCGATTAACTTTTCCTGAGCAGTGTGTGGTTCACTTCCAGTACGTCGGAGTGACCATGGAAAGTTGAGTTACACTTTCAGCTCAACGAAGAACTAGACAATGTATCACAATGCCCTTCTCACGTAGTCATGTGCAAAGATCGGCTTGCCGACCAAAGACTCCGTTCGTTGGACCCTCCAAGATGAATTGCGTAGATTTGTCGGCTCTCCCTCGGTTATCGTGGCTGGAAAATTTGAAGTGACGTGCTCCACTTCTCGTTCACTTTTCTGTATTTTGTATGTTCGTTCACATAGAAGCCTCTTCTTCTTTTCATTCCCCCTGATTAGACATTCAAGATTCCTCCAAAATTCTCGTCTTCGACTTTTTTCTTGCGCATTCTCCACCTCTCTCCTCCAAACGAAAGTTGTTATTGTCGTCTTTCAGCTCCTCCGTCTCACATTTCTACGTAAGCACCTTCTTCGCACTATCGGATTACTCATTTCGGAGCAGTTGCCTCCACTGCTTGACATTTGACGTTCGTCTTGCTTGACAACCTCAATTCCGCCTGGCTGAATCGACGGAAAGCTTCTTGGTGCTTCGTCCCCGATGAGATGTAGTCTGTGAGGCCTTAATTAAGTCAAATATGGTGTCAAACATTCCTAGGCAGCAATCCCAGCGTCGCTGGTCTTCTCGACACGGCCGAGAGCAATGATCAGGCAAAGGATCGAACATTTGAACTGCGTCATCTTGTTGTCCGAATCGTCTTGAGTACAGTCGTTGAATCTGGTGTTGCACCAATCTCTCCATTTATTCTTGTCTGGGTTCTTCTTGCCGAAGCGGCAAAAGGACCTTCTCGTTATTAACCAGATCAATTCCAAGGTTGAGAACAAGCTCGAGCAATTGCGATGAGTATGATCCAGACAGTAAATTCAGACCACATTTGCCGAAGATCAACGTTTTGCACACGGATAGGGTGAAATCCACAGTCTCCACAATCCACATCCAGATTCTCGTCTCATTACTTGTAACAAAAAACTCAGGCTGGTTGCCCATGGATTCGACAACAAATTGGATTTGAATCTGGAAAAAAATTTAAGGCCTATGTATTATTCTTTGTCTAAAAATATAGGAGAAGGTGATTTTCGGATCCCATCGGAATGCGAGTCTCGAGTCGAGACTCTCGACCAGAAGTTGAAATTCCAACAAACGTATGAAAGTGAGCATGAGAGGATGGAGCCTAATCGAATCAGCGAGAAATCTACAGCTACGGTTGGCTCTGTTGATCAATTTGAATGATGACCACAAGTTCTCGAATCTCGAACCAGCATCGACTCCTTTTCTATTCATTGTCCTTTCTTCGCGTTGTAATACGTCCGTGGACAGCTTGGTCTTCGTCAGTGAGACCATTGAAATTCACGTATATGTAGACCATTTTTCCAAGGCCACAACCTGTATGCATCATGTAGCGAAGAACGTTTGTCTGTGTCGACTTTTGTCATCCCCCGGGATTTCTATGCGCACTGGACGCTAAGATAATCAGAAAGTAGGAACTGAGAGAGAAGATGGAAGGCCAGAATTGAATCTGCTTGAGACCCTCTCATGGACGAGGGCATGAGTGTCGTCTAATCAGGGGGAAGGAAAAGAAGAAGAGGCTTCCATGTGAACGAACAGACAAAATACAGAAAAAGTAAACGAGAAGTGGAGCACGTCACTTCAAATTTCCAGCCACAATAACCGACGGAGAGCCGACAAATCTACGCGATTCATCTTGGAGGGTCTGACGAACGGAGTCTTTGGTCGGCAAGCCGATCTTTGCACATGACTACGCGAGAAGGGCATTGTCTGGTTCTTCGTTGAGCTGAAAGTGTAACTCAACTTTCCATGGTCACTCGACGTACTGGAAGTGAACCACACACCGCTCAGGTAAAGTTAATCGACCTCGTCGACTCACTGCCTACGAGAAGAGACGTCCTTCAATGCGACGCATGGCACGATCAGTATCCTTTACTCTCAGCGCGTGATTTCTCTAACTTTCGTCGTTAGTCGGTGTCCCTGATAGGAACGAATGGAAGGGGCAATGGAGACTCCAAAATGTTTCATGAACGGGATATCGTTAACGATCCTGTGGATATCGAGAAAGTATCGATCGGGTTCGCGATGCGAGTAATGCGTACAGAGCGAGAAGGCAAACTCACGTGTGCTTGGATGGATGGATCGATCCATCTCGATCAATCGATCCATCCTCGCTCGATTGTGCTGGATCGATCGACACTCACATGGATGTGCAAACTCATCATGCGGGAGCCGGGTCTTCAGGCAGCGGCAGGTCTCGAGCACAAAGTGAGGAAGGGACGGGGGCTCGGGGCTCCTTACTGCTGTTGTTGCTGCTGTCGTCGTCGGATTCAAATACTCTCGACGACCCTCGTCACCATCGGTCCGCGCCCGGTCAGACAGTCAGTCAATCGATCGATTCCTCAGGTCCTCTCTCTCTCTCTCTCTCTCTCTCTCTCTCTCTCTCAATCGATCGATCGAATGAATTCGGTAGTGCAGGAATTGGAGAGTTGCTCTCTCTGACGCTCTCGATATCGATCGCGATCCGTCGATTCGAGGGGAGATCGAGCAAGGCGGGAGAGCGGGCAGGATGGGGGCGATATTTAGCTGTAGATCAAGCCATTCTTCGCCCAAGGCCAAGGGCTTGTTCTACAGCTTCGTGGCTCGAGGAACGGGGCCGGGAGTGGTGGTGCTGGCGGAGTACTTGCCGGTCAAGGGCAAGTTCAGCAAGATCGCCCTCGAGTGCGCGCAGAAGCTGGCGGCGAACAACCACAGCATCACGTACACATGCGATCGGCAGGCCTTCCATTTCCTGGTCGAGGACGGGATCATGTACCTGGTGGCGGGGGAGGAGAGCCTCGAGTACCTGGTGGTGGGGGAGGAGAGCCTCGGGCGGATGATCCCGTTCGCGTTCCTGGCCCTAGTGCAGAATGATTTCCGGGAATATTTACCGGGCGCGTTCGAGGCCAATGCGCACAGCTTGGACGAGCGGTTCCGGCCGATCATGCAGGATCACATGTTCTTCTGCGTGGTGAACCCCGAGCATCTCAAGGGCCTGGTGTCCAGGCTCCAAAAGCAGGTGGACGAGAATGAGGGCATCATTAGGCTCATCACTCGTTCAAGGCGAGTGTAATGCGTTAGGGAGACATAAGGTTTATAATTGTGAGCGGGTACAATGCTGAATTTCTTCTCAGAATGTCTCAGAAAACCTGATCCTCCTGTAGTGAAAGACTGTCATCAGGTGTTCCCGGGATATTACAAAAGATGTGAAAGAAAAAGAAGGGATCTTTGTGTCCCTTAGTTTCATCTAAAACAAACCAACGATGTTAGGAATCCTAACCTTCTAAATAACACAATTCATATTAAGAAAACAGTAAAAGAGAAGAGAATGTATCATGAAGGTAATCAATGTCCCGTGGTTTCATCTGAAACAAATCAATTATGTTAGAACTCCTAACCTTGTATCTAGACATAATTCATTTTTAAGAAAACACTAAAAGAAAAGAGAATGTAACGTGAAGGTTATTAGTGTCCCGTGGTTTCATCTGAAACAGATCAATTCTGTCAAAAGTCCTGACATTGAATCTAAGTCATTTCTCGTTTAATTAATTGAATTAGTGGAACTGAAGATCATCCATGTTTTTCCTTGTTCACATTTTTTCGAATGACTTTCGTAGACATAAGTTGCGAATTCGGCTATTTCCTGGCAGAGTTTGCTCTACCACAATCATCGTTCGATATTATCACTTTGTTGCTCGCAGTCATCTACATCAGCAGGCACTGTGTTTTCGAGCCGTCGGGAAGCACAAGACCTTGAAGCTCCAGTATTCTGAAGCAAGGCTGCGCTACGAGCTGAGACTCGTGAAGAGACCTACGAAGTGATATTATTCTGCATACATGAAGGACTCGATCCCTCATAAGCAGCTCCTGCGATGGATTCTATAATATTTGAGGCTCTGATTCGCTTTGAGTTGAATGATATCGTTCAGGTACCATCGACGCTTGGTCTGTGACACGGTATTTATGGAAGCATCCTTTCCTTCCGGATTGGAATCTGAATGTTCGTGACTGTGTAAAAGACCAAATAAGCAATTTCCATCACTGACTGACTGACTGACTGATCTACGATGAATTCATTCCCATCTTAGTCTCTGTCGACTTGTAATTTTCTCGGAGAGCTGTTACAAATACAGTGCACAAAAGCTTGTTCGTTGCTCGAGGTGAGCCTCGGATTCTACTAAACGCTAATTTATGATGATCTACAAACGAAAATCAAGGGGACAGACACCCGTCGAGATGGACAGACAGATCGAGGAAGAAGAAGAATCGAAGGCACGTCGCGTTCGAAACCTCGTCGCTAAATCTTCCCCGCTCCCCTCCCCTCCCCTTGGCTTTAATGAATTGTTTAAAATGGTAGTCTATCCTCGCATTTTCGATACTTACAAATCTTGTTGTTGTTTTTGCATGAACGGACAAACATTCATGGCTTCGCCTCTAGACGAGCTGCGATCGGCGGATCGAGTCGGTTGCGAACGGGAAGGACCTCGAAGTGTCGTCACCGACGTCCTTTCTAGAGGCTCGTCGTCATGCCACCACCCGAGTCCCATTCCCAATCCCATACTTGATCAGCACATTCCGGGCCGGAAATCAGAACTGCGTACTTCGCTCAAGCTCCTCCTGATTCTTTCCTGATCATCGAATTTTTTCTACAGCTTCCTGATCCCACCTTATCTCGATCCGGGAATCAATTCCAAAGTCGATGATTCTCAAGAAGCATCTGGTGATCAGTGCTGCTGCTGCTGCTGCTGCTGCTTGAAATTGGGGAGCGAGTGCCAGACGGAGCGATTCATCTCGAGCGAAGAACCTCAGCTCGACCCCGTGCTCGCAATGTCAGGCAGATGGAATTCCACAGCTTTTATTCCGCGGTGAGCACCCCAGGCGTCGGATCTGTCGATCCGGAAGTAGTGTGTGTGTGTGGAGAGTTCCATCGTCCGCTTCGCTCGTGCCTACTCGCCCGCCTGTCTCAAGCATTTTTGTAATACGTGTTCGAGAGTATGTACAACCGATCGATCGAGGGAAACGATCGCGGAGCAGCAAGAGAGGCTCACAGGAGGCGCCGACCGCCGGGAGGAGCAGTGCCCGAGCCCGTGTTGGCGGGGGGATTGTTGCCACCACCACCGCCGCCGCTGCTGCACGAGAAGCCGTGGCAGATGGAGAGCCAGATGACGAGGATGACTACCACGATGAGCAGAAGCACGAAGAGCTTGACCTTCATGTTTTGCCACCAGAGGTTGTTCTTGAGCGTGTTGGTCTTCTTCTGGAACTGCTGCGCCTCGTTGGCCAGATTTCCGGCCTTGTCCTCGATGACCTCGAGGCGCTCGTGGCGCTCGATGATCTTGTCGATGTTGAGCATCATGACACCCTTCACATCGTCCACTTGCTTTTGGATCTTGGACACCTTGTCGAGCTCCTCGGGGTGCTGCAGGCAGAAGGTCATGTGCTCCTTCATGATCGGCCGGAACCGCTTGTCCAAGCTGTGCGCCACCGCCATGTCCGCGCCCGCCTCCCCACCGAACTTCTTCCGGAAATCATCCTTTACTCGGGCCAGGAACGCGAACGGGATCTTCCGCGGGAAGCTCTCCTCCGCCACCACCAGGTACGTGATCCCGTCCTCGACCAGGAAATTGAAGGTGTGCCGATCGCATGTGTACGTGATGCTGTGGTTGTTCGCCGCCAGCTTCTGCGCGCACTCGAGGGCGATCTTGTTGAAATTGCCCTCGAACGGCGAGTAGTCCGCCAGCACCACCACTCCCGGCCCCGTTCCTCGAGCCACGAAGCAGTAGATTAAGCCATTCTTCGCCCCCATCCTGCCCGCTCTCCCGCCTCGCTCGATCGCCCCTCGAATCGACGGATCGCGATCGAGATCGAGACCGTGAGAGAGAGCAAATGCCTCTCAAATTTCTGCACTACCGAATTCGATCGAGGGAGAGAGAGAGAGAGAGAGAGAGGACCTGATGGATTGATCGATCGACTGACTGTCTGTCTGACCGGCCGCGGACCGATGGTGACGAGGGACGTCGAGAGTATTTGAAACCGACGATGAGGCACCGAGCGAGGAGGGAGGGAGGGACTGGGTCCGGCCGCAGGAGGACGGATCGAGGCTTCTTCCGACCTCTCGAGCAAGAAGCAACCAGCAGATCCCGCGGCCCGCTGGGTCGTCGACAGAGCGAGCGGGGGACGACAGCAGCAGCAGTAACGAGCCCCGTCCCTCCCTCACTCTCCGCTCGAGCCCCGCCGCCGCCTGAAGACCCGGCTCACGCATGATGACGGAGCAACGTTCGATCGTGCCCTTCCGGGCCGGTCGGGCCCTTCGTCCCCTTCCCGGTACGACGACCTCATTCGGAGAGATTAGGGGCGGGGAAGGGGGAGTCGAAGAACGCTGGAGGGTTGGGGTTGGGGGAAAGAGCGTTGGGGGCTGGTGTACTTTTGGCTAGATCAACCCCAAACTAATGCCATCTTATGTCACCAGGAGTTACATCTTCATCGAAATTTCGCGATCTCTACTATGTTGTCTGAATTTTTGTGCTGAGTTTCTTGAAACGCAGATTCCAACTGGCGATGGCCTAGCAAGCTAGCTTGGAACCTTCGGTTTGGTCAAGGTCGGACATGAGACCTAGAGAGAAGAGCCAAACGCAAATTTGAGGAGACTTTCAATGCTGCTGTAGACAAGAGTTTTCAACAAGCTATCCCAGAACCACTCCTTGCTGTTGAAGAACGAGCCTTTGATTGTGATTGTAGGTGGTTCAAGTACATGGACCATCAAACTTTAAAAGTGAGAATAGAGATTAACAGAGAACAAAGTCATCACTAGTGTCCGAACGGATGATCGTGGATAACAAGAAAGCACGGGTGACGAAGATCATCTGACAATCACCTCCCAAGAGGAATACAATAGCTAATGAAAGAGAAAGAAGAGCCACATGTAAATTTGAGTAGCACTTTGTGTCGACATTGAGTCACACATTATAGCAAGAGAACATGGATCTGCAAGATTTGTACGAGTCAGGTTTGCCCTGTACATATGTCGAAGTCATCGACTGCGACAGATGACTTCGTGTGTATTGGAGAATTGTTTCACTGGAGCAGTAGCACTGGAGTTTGCAGATTGTCGTCTCATACTCTTTCTATTTCTTCTTGGTAGATTCAATGAAGCTCAAAGTAATTTTGTTTCTTCTTTGTTGATTAGATGAAGTTCAAAGTAATTCTATTTCTTCTTGGTGGATTAGATGAAGTTCAAAATCAGCATAAATTGAACTTGTGGTGATTGTGAGTTTTTTGTTTTGGAAATAGCTTTCATTAGGTCTTAGACATGGATGTATTTCGACACATCTATGAGCTTGAGGGAAAGAGATATGTCTGGTCAATCTAGCATCCTGTATATATACTAGGGACTAGTGGAGAGCATGCGACACACTTAGATGTAAAGAATTATGGATCAAAGACACATTTGGTTACTAAACTCTAATTTCACACGATGTCTATCATTTTTGGGTTTGGTTGTCCATCATTACATATGCTGGACATAAGAGTATGTGTTTGTAATGTCCTCATTTTGAACTCTACGACCACTTCGTTTGAGCACAAGACTAGGACCACGGTCAAAAAATCGTTGCACTCTCCACAAATTCATCTATGGAAACAACCACCTTGGCCTGTTTAATAAGTCACAATTTGATACTTATTTTTTTTTTAAAAAAAAGGTATACTTATTTCACAATGAATTGTAGAATTCCTGTTCAATCACCTCCTACAAGCATATCACATGCAGATGATTTGCAATGAACTTGAAAAATGCGTTATTCTCCTATGAAGATAGCTCTTATTTCAAATGAAAGGGTAGATAATTTTTTAGATGGTGAAAACAGAAGAAATATAGAATGTGAAACAACCATTTGGAAAACACAAACCAATGACAAATCAAGTATGAAGACTGCTTGGATCAAAACTGTAACTTATTAGTGTATTTATGAATCATTTAACCATACTTCTTGGATTCCAAACACAATACCCAAGAAATTCATCTTTACATCTCTAAGTATAGGTGGCAGCAGTATATCACGATCAAGAAAGATTAACTTCCATGATCATCTAAAAAGAGTATGTGTTTGTAATTTTATGGTTATATATTACAAATCTCAACCTGATATTGCAATCAAATATTACATACAAACATAAATGTATTTTGTTTGAATATTTTTTATAGTTTGAGTTTGTTGATGTTTATGTTAACATTATCCAATCGTTATTTTATATATATGTAATAATATTAACTTGATTTTTATATCTGTATTGCAGAAATCATTGTAATGATAAACATGAGAAATGTCACGGAGGAATTGCAAAAAATGAAGTTGTTCCTTTGAGTCCTAAGTGTGCTTATGCTACACAAATTATGAACAAGCTCAAACGTAATATAGAGCAATTGTTCATATGGGGTTGTACTGTTCGACAAGTTTTTTATGTGCAGTTAAAATAGTAAATTCAAGTAGAAGGTCCAAATTATACCTTCAATAAATCTCTTATTCTTCTATGGTCCATTTAAGGAGCTAAAGATGACACAATTCATACAAAATATCTTCATCACATAAAAGCAAAGGTAGCAAGAAAAACATATATGTTTCATGAATATGACCAATAGTCCGTGCCCATTGTGGTAACACACTTTTTGTTTTTTTGCAGAATTTAAACAATTTTAGAAAACTAGTACCGAAGCAGTGTTTGTAGTTAGAAAAGGGTACGTTAAATAGAGTGGATTGATGAGATCGTCACGAGGACACAAAGAATCACGTAGTCGGATGTACCAACGCCAATGTCTTCGACGCCTTCGGCAAAAGCTCCTTTTCTGAGGTGTCTCTACTCACGCGCCTCCAGCGTATAAGGAAGCTACGCTTCCGGCGCAGACACCTCAGGAGGAGGTTTTGCTAAAGACGTCAGGAGAAGGGCCCGGACCTCTAAAGGCGTCCGACCATGAGTGCGCCTTCGGCGAAGCGCCGCTAGCGCGGAAAGGGAAAACCTTCATAACAATCGGGATACACGGTAGATCCAGTTGGTTGAAGTCGTATTAGAAAGAGCTCGGGACGCTCGTTCTAACGAGCCCAAGAGCGTCGGAGATGGATCAGGGACGGAGAAGTTATGAGCGTCGGAAAACTCGTAGCCGGACATGCGCCGTTCGCGCTAGGGTTCACAGCCGGAAAGGATTCCCGTACGCCCTCGGCGATGCGCCTTCGGCGGAATCACGCGCTCATAGGAGGAAACCAACTCAGAGTCGGAAGCGCCTTTGGCGGCTGTTCATGGAAAGAAAGCGCCGGTCGGATGTACGCCTCCGACGTGGCGCTGACGGCCGGATGCGCTGGCATGAGTTGCGCTGGCGGATATGCGCCGGCAGCAACGGACGAGGCATAAAGGACAAAATAAGCGGTACGACTGCGCGCCGGCGTAATTCGCTCCGACTAGTTATGCGCCTCCAGCAAGGCGCCGACGGATAATGAACGCACCAGCGGCGACACGCCTCCGGTGAGGGACGGGTTAGGAAAAGACAACAGGGCCGACGTATACCCTGCAGCGGACTCGAGTCCGGAAGGTGGCGGCGGCGGGAGAATTCAACGTTTACGCATGCGAATGCGCGTAGTGCGGAGACGTGAATTCGCGCATGCAAAGGGCGAACCGTTAAGCCGTATAGCCGGCTGCGTACGTTGTAACCAGTAAGAACGTTGGACGTTCTTGGAATCGGAGAAGAAAAGACTGCGCTCCAGTCTCATTCTCTCATTCTTGACTTTGCGATTTCCAGTTTCCAAGATTACGCGCAAGGGCGGAGCGACCTGCAGTGAGAGTAGAGAGTGCGGAGACGAGTTGCGCAAGGATCTTGGCGGACCTTGGAGAGAATTGCGAGTAGCGATCTTGAGCTTGAGCGCAGAGAGAGTGAGCAGTCAGTGCTTGAGCGGCCGACGCGCAGTGGCGATTGTGAGAGAGCGAGCGAAAGAAAGAACGTTTGTGTGTGCAGGCAACGCAATGTCGAAGGTTCCCCAGCTGCGAGTGTCTCCACTCAGGGTGCCGCAGATCGGTCTACGCGCATTTCAAGATGTGCTGCTGAGGCTGAAGCTCGATTTTCTCCTATGGGGGTGGAACTGGACATGTCCGGAGATGGTGCGCGAGTATCTGCAGGAGAGACACAAGCCCTCTCGCGGATTCCGCCCACACCCAGAGAGATGGGACATTTGCAACTGGGCGCAGGTGTTGGGCAGGTGTGCCGGCGAGGAAGGGGATCTCCTCTTCGAGGCCGATAGCGTGAAGGTGTCCCAGGAGGAAGAAGTCTCTTACAATGAGCTCTTCAAAGTTGCCAGGCATCCCAAGAACGGTTTCCGGACACGGGATTACAAAGATCGATTGCGGAGAAATGTCGCGACTGCATTGCTGCAGATATTGCAGCCGACCAAGACCGCTTACATGCATGGTTGGCAGGTAGAGTTTGTGGAGCTAGTGTTGTCAGGAGCTCCAGTGCATTGGGCACGGCTCCTGTGGAAGGTGACGCGCCAACATGCGCAAGAAGAGAAGGGAGGAACCCTCAATCATCTATCGCCTTACTTAATCGTGTTTTATCGGGCGATGGGATGTTTGACAAATGCTGAGAAAACACGGTTTCCGCAGCTGACCCGGAACTATCCAGGTAGATATTCGAGGGAGGCCGAAGTAGACACGGATCCGGACGAGGAACCTGCCAGTACGCCTCCGGCTCCGGCTCCAGCAAGAGCAGCAGAAGAACGTCGAAGTGAGCGCATTCCGCGAAAGCGGAAGTGGGATGAGAGACCTGAGGACAGGCAGCCGGAAGTGCCAGCTGCGCCGACTCGTGGTCGGCCCACCCCCGAGCCTCACAGTCGACCAAAACAGAGGGCACGCAAAATGCCAACTGGTACTGAGGAGACCGGGCGAACTCCGACCCGGCGGAATCTCACACAGGAGAAGATAATCGCTCAGATTCTAGGGAAGACGGCAGATACCTCTGCACAGAAGGCACCACGGTCTTCGGGAGGAGATGGACGGACTGACAGTCGGCCGACTGCGAGTCGGATGACTGAAGGCCGACAAGCGGAAGGAAGGCCAACTGAACGGCGCGTTGAACCGGACAGCAGGCCGGAAGCAGAAGAGAGTTTGGCT